CCCCCCACCACCACCACCACCTTCCTGGTACTGAGGGACTGGAGAAGAGGGGAAAGTGTGACACAGGATGAGGAAAAGATGCTCAGATAGGTGACAGGAGGGGGGAAACCCTCCGAGTACATTTGAATAATTCCTCCCCGACAAGGCAAACMAAAGTGATCACTGCTGCAACACACTGACAACATGGAGTGTTACCAAGTGTTGGGACCATTTAACATGACTCAGCAGCTGAAGCATTTGAAGTTAAAAAAAAACAAGACGATGAAAATCTGAACTGAATCAGAGGTTTGTAAACATGACTCGATCTGCTCGCACTAATTAAATTGTAAAGCAAATATCCTCGTTCAGGTGCCTCTGCCTGAAGGTGTTGACAGAACTCTGCCTTTGTCTGCTCCTGACACACGTTTAATTAGGATAATTGTAACAAATGAAAGCTATTAGGGAGTCATTCAGCTCACCTCTGCAGGTTTTAACGGGAAGAGAAGGAAAGCTCAGGAAGGGAGGTGTGTGTGTGTGTGTGTGGGGGGGGGGGGGTGACGGGTCGAGGGGAAATTCCTCCTCCAGTGTCATTGTCATGGTCATTGTTGAGGCGACAGGTCTGTAGGGTGCTCCTCTGCCAGGGTGTCCCCCCATCTCCTCTCCCTCTCTTCTCCCCCCCGTGCAGCCCGGCTGCCGTCGTGTGGGGTTCACCCCCACCTCCATTGCCATTCCTCATCGAGCCCCCCACCCACTCCCCTCCTACAGCTCTTCTGGCTCCTGGGAGAGAGTGAAGAGAGAGAGGGAGGGAGCAGTGGGCTTCCAGGGRGGTTGGGGCGATGGCCGAGGCCTGAGGAGGAGGAAGGAGGTGCTGTGTTGGAATTCTGGGAGACAGAAGTGTGAGGCTTGTGGGCTCAGCTGCACCTCTCTGTTCTTGCATTCTGAACCTTTACACGAATAAAAACTCCACATCTTTGTGCTGAAAAGAGAGAGAGAGAGAGAGAGAGAGAGAAGAACACACAATAGCTCGGCTTGTTCGTGAGGCGCACAATGGCACGCTTTCGGAGAACAATAGCCGAATTATCCACCGAACGATTGTTTGCATTTTTTTGTCTGATCTGAGGCAGAAATGATTTCCTGCAGGATGGGGAGGTTGTTTTCCAGCAGGCTTCGCCTGAACGTGACCCAGAGTTCAGATTTAGCTCCTCTTCGCTTTAAACGCTACACTAATGATGAGTGACGCAGGCCCTTATCCTGAGAGCCCTCTCCTCCATTTGCTCCTCTCACCCCCTCCACCTCCAGGGAATGGCTTATTTGCCTGTTTTTAATTGCATGTTAATTTACATGTGAGGCTGGATTTCCACATGAAGCGCCGACTTCTCCCTATTTTAACCATAAAGGAGACARATCATGCTTTCAAATCCTTCTTTTTCACATTTAAACCATTCAGCTGGGGTCTTAAAGTGGAACTGTAATGCTTTGGTCTAAATCCCTCCTTAATGCAACTCCACACCCCCCCTCCCTTTTGTTCTCAGATCAACTCATTTTGAGGCTGTCTCTTTAAATACAAACAGGAGCTTTGCACACCGCCCCCACTCCAGCTTCCAGAGCGGTTTATTTTAGTTTGATAGACTTACGCCTTTACGACTATATAGCAGCGCAGAAACGTTTTATGTACAAATTAATTAAAAGACGTCAACAACAGAAGACTTGTCCATCCAGCCTTACATGTCAAGTAGTACAGATTGTCTGTAAATTACACAGATTTTTTCCCAATTTTGCAGGTATACAGATGTATAAGACAATCACAGATTTGTTTCAAAATTCAAAATCATTTTCTTACAACATGCTCTGCTGCTAAAAATTAGTTCTCCACTTTTCCCCGTCCTCCTTTCCCTGCTGCAGATGCTATCTCTCTGCATTACGTTTCTATTGTGTGTCAGTAATGCAGATTTTTTGTGGAAATTACAGATTTTTGTGGGTCAAGATACAGCTGACCATCCGAAGAGGTGTTCCAGCCTTACGTATTGGAGCCAGAGTCTGACCCAGAGCCAGAGGAGAATGAAGGCGATCAAATTGTAGTTAAGTCTAGACCTTATTTGGCAGTTCTGTCACAAATACTGTGACGTTATAGTTCAAAAAATGTTACAAAAAATAGAGAAAATTGAACGGATTGAAAAATATGACCTAAACAGAAAGCATCAACTTTTCTGCACGGCTCCAAGCACACAACAAAATGTATTTAATGGCTAAAAACTTGTCCCCTTTAAACTGTAGATTCTGCAAGAGGAAGAGCAGACAGCAGGTTCCTGTTTATAGGGGGTCAACATGGGGTCAGGGACAATCAAGTGTCTGAGTCAGATAAAAACAACACATGGAGGCCAAAAACAGACAGGGTGGTGTAGATGAAGCTGCCAACGTTGCATCAAAATGTAATAAGAGGGTGAGTGGACAGACAAGTTTAATGTTCTCCACTATCTATATGGAAATTCAGCCATGCAGGCGTTCARATGCAGCTGCTTCTTCTTCTTCTTTTTCTTCCATAATTCATTTGGGGCTTTGATTGGCTGCAAGAGGAGCAGAGGGGGAAAAAGGAGATGAGAGATAAAGCGAGTAACGGGGGTTTAAGATTTGTATTCAGTTTAGGGAGATAATCAGCCCCACCACGAAGCATTTTTCTGCCTTCCACAGCAGTTTTAAATCTCAACATAAACAAAGACTTTTCTGCTCCTTTCAGGCTTTGTGTCCCCATTCAGACACGAACACGGGCGCCTCTTCATTTCCAGCTGTTCCTCCATCTTCGAAGCTCCTCCACCTTCCCAGCAAACTTCTCCAACAATCCTCCACACTCCTGCTGCACATAATCACCTCTCTCACTCCCACCCCGATCGCCTCAGGGAAGCCCCCCCGTGAGGACTCGCGAAGTGTGTGTGTGTTCCTGTCAGTCAGCGCCCTGCCACCGGCGAGCGCGTGCAGCAGACATCATACTCTCAACACAGGAACTCGGCGTGTGTGTCACAGGTAGTGCAGCTCGCCACATCAGAGCCAGGAAGGCCTCTTCCTGAGCACAGACAGCTCTTTGTCTGCTGCAGGTCCTGCTGGTGTCCCCTCGTTTTACTGCTGTCCGGCTCGGGCTGAACTGTCCTCGCACGACAAATGCATCAATTTCTAGAAAGGACAGGTGGATGATTAGGACATGTGAGCTCAAACTMGGAGAAACAGCACAAACATGCTGTTTTCTCTTAAAATCCACAAAAGGATCCAGATTTTGGGACTGATTTACATCCTTTTCTTAGAATAAGTAAACAACTGACACGTGTAATGTTTTTATCTCTAAGGCTCCCTTCAGAACATCAGTAACAAAGTGCTTTACAGCACAATAAAAGGCCAAAGTATTAAAAGAAAATGGCAGGCGACTATGAAAAAAATGCTCAAAAACACAAAAAATGTCTGCTTTTAAACAAGAAAGTTTACTGAAATACAAGCTTTGAGTTATAAGGCTTCGTCTCTGTGAACTCCAGGGGCAAAAAATGAAATGTGAGAAGATTACTCACATTCAGGAGCTAAAATATTCAGTGCCATATAATCACTAAATAAATCATTTTTTCTTGGTTTCAATATTTTAAAAAAATTCTTTTTGTTCCAACAAACTCATCCGTATACGTTAGTCAAATGAAAACCAAGGTCAGTGTGAGTAACTCTGTCTCCATACAGCTGAATTATTTATCCAGTTACAACATTTCACCCTAATTAGCCTCCGGAGACGAGAGTGTGCATGAATTTGTAACGTTTTAATTAAACTTCCTGTTAACAGATCTCACATTTAGAAGCTTAAAGATCTTTTTTTATTTTCTCCTTCAATCAGTCGGTGACTCACATGAAGTAAAAAAAATGCTGACTTTATGTTTGTGTTACAGTTTTTTCCCCTTAAAAGCGAAGCTTCTGAAACGTCTGCATTACATTTTTAAAGATTAACGACTTAATTAAACACAGGGTTTTATTTACAAAAAACTTCTCCCTAAAAACCACCATCAGATTCAGTCAGTCTACATGTGTGTCTGAACAATGTTGGGCTTCTTTTTTTTTCTTTTTTTTTTTTTTTTTGAGAGAGAGAGAATTGTGAAATAGTTTCCTGTCACCAGATCAGAATGGAATTTGAGAAACTCCTCCTCTGCTCTTTCTCTAACTGTAAATTTGAAAGTAAACAACCATGAGGTGGTGAAGTTATCAAACTGGTCAAAAATCAGCCAACATTGTTCTGTTTCCTGCAGATCAGCTGCTACATCTGTTTCAGCCATGAACGTTTTTATTCAATTTATCAACTCTGGAGTCATTTTTGCAAATATATAATTTGGTGCAAATGTTTCCAACGAAGAGTTTCTGCACATGGTTTGCAAGAGTTTTGAAATAATCTAGTGTCTGTGCTGCTGTAAATGTAATAACAGATGGGAAAAATTTTGTAGTTTAGCTAAAGTTCATGCAGCATAACAAAAGTGAGTTTTTTTTTAAATAAAAATACACATAAGTCATTTATCTAAGTCTGATTTGAGCCTTCTATCAGATTTGGCTGAACTTCAAAAAGCTTTTTTGGCAAAACAAGGACTATATTTCTACATCCACTCCAATAAAGTTGCATTAAGGATGGATTTCTTCTCAAAGATGTAAGATGAGAAAAGTGACGGCAATAACTCATCCAGCTGACTTATAAAAGAAAAAAAAGCAAACAAACACTAATATTTAACAGTTGAGAATGAACTTTGGTCAGAGGAACATGTGATGATTTGTGAATTATCCAAAAAAAAAAAAGTTAAAAAAAAAGAAAATGGTCAAGTATATTTTCATAATTTCCTTGCGAAAAAAATAACTTTCACATTTTAAATGTCGCCATCCAGGCGCCTGAGCCTCAGATTTCTTCCTAAAGACAAATCCCTCAGGGTCTGCAGAAAATCCTGATTCAGCAAATCTGAGGCTAATTCACCGGCGCCTTCTTTGTGAGGCGAAAAGATGCACAAAGATGGTCCCCCCAACGCTGAGGGGATCCCGTGTGTTCCCATTCGACATGGTTCCTCTGTGATATATCTCTCTCTTGTCTTTGTGTGATGGTTATTTAAAGGGAGGCCGATGGATTTTTCTCCTCCTCACAACATAATGGCAAATCAATAACACAAGCCCGAGAAGGAGAGTGGGTCTTTTATAGAGCAGCCTGAAGGATGGGGGGGCTAAATTGAAGTGGAGTTCTAGAAATAAATGGGTTATCAAAGTAAAATGCTTTAAACCTTCCTGTCCTTGAGGAGTTTGCTGTTTGTTCATGAAATCCAGACTTTTAAAGCAGAACTTAAAGGAGCAGGTCAGAACTGTTGGAGGGAGATTCTAACAATTAATATTTAGTTTAAGAACACACTGTCCAGTTATTATATCATTTTTAGAGGTGGTAAATTTGGTTCACATTATGGACTAAGTTTAATCTGAATTACTCCCTATACCATGCAAGTCAGACTCATCTGCAGTGTTTCCAGGGATTCAGCTTTTTAATTTTAATTTTAATTTTTTATTTATTTTTTGATGAGTTCATAAACTCTCAGACTTGGTGGAAGTATGCCAGAGGACATGACGAATCTTTTAGGCCTCATGCTCACGAGTCCTGATTCAGTTATGATTATTAACCTGGGTAAGCCAGTGACCAACCAGTTCTGATTGATCGCCTTGTGAAGCAAAGGCTCATGGGAGTTTTAAACTACTAGCATGTTATCACCAGCATGATTATATTAGTTATTTTGACAAAAAATATTAAGATGTATCAGCTGGAAATCACACAGACTGGACCAGAAGTGCTACAGCTAGCTGCTGCTTCTGCTAGTCACATAAATTCTATGTACATATTTGCTACGCTCACTAAGGTGTAAAGATAGTGGTGTTACGATACTGAAATATGAGATCAGACTGTTTGCTTGTCAYTCTGATCCGAATTAAACTCCATTTGTATAAACAGATGTTGAGTTTTCTGTATTAAATGTTCCTTCCTCACTTCAGAAGCTCTGAACTCGTGCTTTAATGGTTTTCGGCCCTTCAGCGGTGTGTGTTCAGGTCACTTCTTATCTGACAATCTGACTGAGTCTACACACACAAGAGGTTTCTGTAGTGTTTGCACACTCACTTGTGTTTTTCTTTTTTTTTTTTTCCCACCAAAGCAAGGCGTCTCAGCCCAGAAGTCAACAAGTGGGAAGATTTCCACAGCCAGATTCAAGTGTGTGTGTGTGTGTAGGGGTAGAAAGGAGGAAGGCGGTTGTTATCATGACTTATGGATTGGACAGCAGTTTCCTACTGGGCAGAAAAGACAGAAGTGGTCACACAAAGGAATGCTGCTGTTTGTGTTTAAAGCACAGGGTTTTTCTGAAGATGACAATATAGGTAAAAGAAAAAGAAAAGACAAACAAAGGGGGAAATGATTCTCCCAAACCACCAGCCATGAAGGAAAAGAGGAAGCTGTCAAATGACAAGTCGCTTTGAGGTCCTCTCTGTGTTTACACTTTCCCCTCTGCGTCCTCCATCGTCTTTATCTCRGACACAGCTTCACCGTCCCTCAGTGACTCACCACACTCTGAGGTGAACTTGGCTTTGCAGGAGGAGGAGGYGGAGGGATCGACAGCAAATCCTGCTTAATCATTCCCGCCAGCACTGCTGCTGATAGCCTTTGGGCATGAATGAAGGATGGGTGGGAAATAAGGGAGTTACGCTACGTTTCCAGATATGATGACAGCTGTAGTAACAGTTCAGCTCTACCCACACTCCCACAGTGACAAAGAGGTGGTTGTCTCCCTTGTGTACCAAAGTTGAAGAGCCCTTGTCGTGGTGGAAAAAAACAAAACACTAGGTCATGGCTGTGGCTTGTTTTAAAGAGCCTCTTTTGTCTTCCTGCAGCCTGAGAAGCCCCTAACAAGCTGATCCCTTTCACAGCAGTGTGGACACGATCAGAACAAACCTAATGAACCTGTTTCTGCTGACCTGAATAGTAGAAAAGCATTTCTGAACACGGAGCTGAAAATAAACTCAGTTGTTGTCTGTACACAAACAAACACGGTGACATACACACCAACACACGGAGCATTGATACAGCTGTCGTTCCTCTTCACTGTTTAATGCTGACAAAATAAAATCCCAAAAACAATCCTCTAAAGTTATGAGATTTTGATAAATTGAGTGAGAACACTTCAGAAACATTTAGATATTTTACGGGTTTTACAAAAACACAGTTTTGTTTGTTCGAGTTTTATAGATTTTATCAAAGAAAGTTCATTGTGGTGATGTGGTGTCCTAAAGCTTAACTCTGAAAAAATAAAAATAAAAATAGAAACAGTGAAGCTCTGCAAAGTTGTGTCTTTTTTCATAGAACCTAACTATAGTTTACAGTTATCCCCGTGATATTACAAAAAAACAGAAACACAGTACAGTTAAGAACATTGTGCTTTTTTGTGAGTTTTTAAGTTAAATTTTAATGCATAATATAATTTACTAATTTTGTAACATAAACATTACCATAAATTCAGCTCCATGATGAAGGCCCTGTGCACACGCTCCACCCAACAGCATTTCAAGTAGGGATTTCTGCAGTAAAAAGGAGGGGTTTCTTGTCTATAAGGGGCGGAGTCTGTCCCAACCGTGATTGGCGGAGTTCTTTGGTGTGGGTGGAGRTTGTCCTAATGAGGTTCTTGGGCAGGCAGAGTTTGGTTAAAACAGTAATTGGTCAGACTGACTTGCCATGTGGGGCAAATTTATTGTGATCGGGTAAATACGATTAATTGACCATCTYCAATTTAAAACAGAACGATAGCTACGTTTACATGGACATAAGTAATCAGATTAAATGTCCGTTCYGAATAAAAATGCGTCATGTTAAACAGCTTGTTCYGATTATTCRGATCCGATTGAGCTCGATCCGAATGAATTTTTAATCRGAATGAGAGGMGTGGRTRATGCCGATTGATAATCGGAATGATGTGCYTGTAAYCACCTTAATCGGATCATCTTATTCTGATTGTAGAAAACAAACCTGTGTTCACATGTCTTCTGACTTTCATTCACCRGGTTCTGCTCTTTAGAGGAGGCAGGACATCGCTCCAGCTGRGCAGCACCYTGCAGAACTTTTCCTCCTCGCTCTCTTAWCAGATGAAAAAGGAGACAAACAGCAGACGTTGCTTCGCAAAAAATAAAAATAAAAACACGTKTTYCTTCATCTGCAGCTCAACCGAGGAGTAACGYCGTCTCTACCYTTATTAAAAGCTGACACAGGTCCGTCCTGAGCGCACAGAGGAGCMTTGTTTARGTTTGTAARASGGAAGTAGAGCTGAACGTTTACAACACTGTGCATGTCCGGACTTTTATTCTGAATAAAAGTCCGGTGCATGTGAACACTTTTCATGATCGGATTGTGTCCATGTAAACAGTACATTTGGATTATTTAATCCGAATACAATTCAATACAATCAAAAAAAATTGTGCATGTAAACATAGCTACTGTCTCAAACAAAAGTTATTGTGAACATGTAAACATAATTTATTGACTAATGCCTTCCTGTCTTGAGTTGTGACTAACATTAATTCAGACTTTAAAAAATAGTGATATTTTTCCAGGTGYGTTAAGGCTGTTTTGACCAAGGCTAACTGTGACCCATCTCTCCACACGTATGGCATTCATATTTTTACACCTTCCTGTCTCAAGTTATGACAAAAATAAATAATGAAAGTTATAGGTGCTCTCTGTTACATGTCTCCCTAGCTCAGGGGTCTCCGACCAGTAGCTCTTGAGCTACCTGTAGCTRCTGGGCTCATTTAAAGTAGCTCTTCAGTGCTCATGAAAAATTAGGAGAAGCAAAACTTAATCTGTCACTGGCCAAACAAACTTTCATTTATCCCCAATCAGWCTATAGATGTTCCTTCCCCTTGGCTGTCAAACAGTTTAGGGCTCAGTATGGTCGACGCACAGTTACGTGGCTGTTCGGCATTCATTTTCACACACACATTTTGTAGACCCTTGAGACAAACTGTGCCAAACTCCTGAGAAACCCCTCCTGCTGCAGTATGTCACTGCAGTGGGTCTCTTCCCGCTGGGAAAAAATGCGGGAAAAAAATCAACCAACGTTATTTGTGCACAAATCTGTTGCAGTTAAACCCTAAGTTATTCATGTAAAATACAATATAACATGAATGGATAATCACAAAAAGTACATTTATGTAAATATTGTGTTCTTTGTAATAGTTTCATGTGAATTGAAGACATAGTTTTTTGTGCAAAACAAGCTTATTCCAGTGGTTTAAGTTTAAAATTAAATGTTGCAAAAAGTAGCTCTCACAATTTCTCGGAGACCCCTACCCTAGCTGAACAGTGTTCATCCAACTGGCTTCTTCAAAACCCACCCAAAACAGTCAATCTGACCAATCACATGTTGAACAAACGCCCACAACAGTCCAACAGACCAGTCGTGTCTTGGACGAACAACTCCCACACAACAAGAAACTCCCATTTAGTGACTGCAGAGACCCCTTCTCCAMTYTTTTCACRTTCTAACAGTTTACTGTACAGTACCATGTGGTATTTGTTTGGTTCTTACTGCATTACGATGCTACCCCAACAGTGCTGTAGACCTTTTCTAGACTGCATGTAATATTCATGTTTTTTTACGACTAAGAACGTAATCCCTGCGAAAATCTGGGCTTTACTGTATTTGTGTCTAAATAAATGGTTAGAAAATGTATAAAAAGTTTGTTGGAAATTTACCCAAGTCCTACACTTTCTTCTCATAGAAGAAAAAACATTTATTTACATGAAATTTTGTTGAGTAATTTCTAAGAATGACTAGTCATCTTGTTGTGAAACTCCTTAATTCACAGCAAACAGCTCCGCCTGTTTTGCTTCTTGAATCAAAAATGTCACTCTGTAAGAGATTATTTTTCCCCCACAGAAAAACAACTAAAAGTTGCATTTCCTGTTGTGGATATGAATGCAAACATTATTCATTCTCTGTTCATTTTGGTCGGGGCCACAAAGAGCTCCTGCAGAGGGATAAAAGAGCTGCATGTGGCCCCGCAGCTTTGTTAATAAAACAGTCGGTCCTATAAATGAATCCGAGACGAAAGCTGCTGCGTGTTTCAGGCAAGAAGCCATGTTGGCAGCTTTTACATTTAGTCTAGTTTGAAAAGAAAAAGACTGTTTTACTTTAGTGTACCGCAGTTCTCAGCTTCACACCTCTGCACAGAATCCCACACACACACCAAGAGTGCATAAAGTATGTGTGCACAATCAGAAGTGCACACATACACACACACACACACACACACACACACAGAAGCTCACTGCTGGTAAAAGTGAATTATGGAAGATATCACAGTCTGGGTTTTTTGGGGGTTGGGTGGTGGGGGGGTTGTCTCCTCTCTCCAGCAGTTTCACACACACACACACACACACACACACACACACACACACACACACACACACACA